TATATTCTCTTACTAAATCTATTTCATCCGTTGTTGGTTCGAAACTTTTTAAGTTTTTCAAATTTTCAACTGTCAATGTTTCATTTAATTCTAATATTGAATTTTTAATTTCAGAGTATGAAAGTTTAATACGCGCCAACATTATTGCTATATTATTTGCACGATTAATATCAATCAATGTTGTAAATACGGACTTTTTTGGTGGTGGAGATACTGGAGATGTAGGAATGCTAGGTAATGCCGAGAAATATTTTAGAGAGGTAATGGAAATACCAAGACTATCAGAAAGGTTAGAATGCATGATATATAGGCGAAAATTTGAAATGGAGATTTTTGAATTGAAATCAGTGGGTATTTTATGAGAGTCAAATAAAAGACATTTATAAGAAACGACATAAATTATTTAATAAAGTGACTTAACGAAATATTTTATATTGCAGCAAGTTGAAGATTTACATGAGGCTTACATAGAATTAAAATCATCAATGAAATTTAAACATTTGCTAAAAGTACGTAATAATTGTTTTACTTATATCAAATTTTATACGTTTATAGTATATATATATTTTTTTTGTACTGGTGCAATTGGATAGACCATATTGGCAATTGGAAATTTTCTTAATGGTTCTACGTTCCGAGGAAATGCGATCGGATTTAAGTTGGATTGCCTTTTAAAGGTAAATTTATTTCACTCATGTCACTGTTATTTATGATTTTATAATTAATATTTCAAATATTAACTATTTAATAGATAAGTGAAACAAAAGCTTTAGAAAATAATCCAAAAGGATTTTCAACCTTGCTCCATTATTTAGCCGCGACACTTGAAGAAAAACAGAACGATTTGATAACATTTATGGACGAGTTAAAACATTTAGAAGGGGCATCGAAGATTTCATATGTTGCAGTTATGGGATCCGTTGCATCTTTGAGTAGTGGGGCTGACCAGATCAAAGAAGAAATTAGAGTTTTGAATAAGATAAGATTGACATCGAATAATGATCGTTTTTGTGAAATTATGGAGGTTCGTTTGTATGGTTATTTATATTATATTTTGTCATAAGCACAAATACTTAACCTGGATTTGTATCTTATGTCTTTTGTGTAGGAATTCATTAAACAAATTGAACCAACTGTCGAGGGCATAAAAGAATTTACGCAACAATTAGAAGAAAAATTAAAACAATTGCTAATATACTATGGCGAAGATCCTTCTATTGTCAAACCTGAAGAATTTTTCGGCATGATTGTTGAATTTGGAAAATCTTTGGCTGCAAGTATTTCAAACCTTACCTTATTTATATTGGCAATGTTAGAATATTTATATAATCGCTGTCTTATATGGTGATCAGAGAGTAAGACGGGAAAATGAAGAAGAAAGGAAGAGAATAGAAAAAGAGCAAACTAATCCCCAGTCACGATTGGTAATGTCAAATTATCTATATTGCAATTGAAGAATTCTTTTGCCCACTCACAATTTCTACGATTATATAATAGGTGGTGAGACGACAATCCGATACATCAATTATGGCTTCATTAATGGACGGGAAAGACTTTGATAGTGCAATCCGAGATTTAAGATCTGGATTAAGAAAAAATCGGGACAGACCTGTTTCAAAAGTTTTTTCTGAGTTACAATTAGATGTAATTTATTCACATAGTCGTAATACTAGTAGTGCATATCCT